ATGTAGGTACCATGTGTTTCTTCTGGTAAACCCAAAGTAATTTTTGTGGTATATTTGAGGAAGATTTCATCTACCAGCATAAAACTTATAATAAACTTCCAGTTCCACCCTTTCCCCCTGCCCCCAACAAAGGCATTCCATTCGGCACGTCGTGGGCAACTGACTGCAGAGCATGAGCACCATGTGAAAAAGTAATTACTGCCTTGCCTAAGGAATGAAACCGATTCTATCAGCATGTCTAGGCTTTTGCAGATAACAAGTGAGCAAAGCCACGGCTTAGTAAGAACATTGTCTTTTTTTAACCTTTTGAAAATTCATTCTTTTCTAATGATTAGGTATGGAAAAAAGTGAGTTAAGTACTGCTTGACAGTTTGCTCAATAGAAGCTCAGTAGTATCACATCTCTTAGTCTTCTTTGATATAGAACCAGCCATCTGTATCAATGACTTCTCTCTCTCTTTAATAAGTTGTAAATTGAGCAACATAATTCTTCCCATGTCCAAGTCTAGTCAGCCAAAAGACCATGTTCAGAAATTGGCTGGCTGTATGTTATAACTCGTCTGTCGTCACTTTCTTCTGTTACTATCCTGTGGTTTGTTTTTGTAGACTTTAAGGACCTATTTGCTAGTGATTCACTTAATTTGGATATATGCTACATGGTATTCTGTGCTTGTGTTTGACCAAAATGTCACATTCCACCACTGTTATGGAGATGATCACCAAGCATGTAAAAGGCTCTACTTGGGGGCTGGCCAAGGCTCCTTATGTAAGACTTCTCTTTTCACAATTGACAAGGCTGATCAGATCTCTCAGTTTCTGTCTGTGGTACCATCATTTCATAGCAATGGCCTAATTTTGAATGGCAGGCTCAGTCTTCTTTTACTTGTGAACATATCTGAAATTAACACTCCCTAAGACACAAAGTCCAGTGAAACAATGGCCTTTCCTTTTGATTCTTCTTTTAGAGCCCTTTGAGTTGGGATTGACAACCTTTTAAAGAGAGGGAACTTTTTGATAGTGAAAATATTAGAAAAAGAATGGATTTCTGTATTAGTTGGAAGATTGGAACAGATGCTTTCTAAAATTCCTCTGAAGCTAAGATTTGTTGAACCTGTTCTCAAATGCTTCTCTCAATGAAAGGGAGCCACAGGAAGCTTAATAAATATAAACAGAAAAGATTTTGTTTTGTAATTATCATTATTAGCTTTACTGGAAAAGAAAACAAATATTCTTTATGGGTTTTTATTGAAAGACTCATAAAGGATAAATGTTTTATTTTGAAAAAGAAAAAGAAGAGTAGTCTAGTTTGTTTGGTATGTTGGGAATCGTATTAAAGTGGGCAGATACTGCAGATTCCTGAGTAGCAGCAGCCTGAGACTGGTTTTATCATTTCAGTTAGGAAGCAGGTGCCACTATATTACTAGTAAATTTAAGACAAAGGTAGAATGTGTCAGCTACACAGATCATCTCCCCATATCTTTATGAGAAAACTTTTTTTTTTCTGAAGTCTGCAAACAACAGTTAATCATTGCATCTCCTAGTTATGGTGGTAAACAACTCAGTTGTTGATCGGTAGAGCGCATCTGTGGGCTTATAATTCAAGTCAACCGTGCAGGGAGGAGGGAAAGAGAGGAAACACAGTTTCATTTCCCATGAACTCTCCTGACCTTAGTTAAGGTAGGAACTGAGGAAAACACCTGTAAAAATAACAGCCACAAACTACAGAAGGACCAGCAGTTTGAGGTCTAAACACTTTCTGGTTATTGTACATATAAGGTCAAAATCCTCAGCAGTGAATCACAAAACTAGAATTTTAGATAGCCTTTGCATATGATCATAGAAAAAGAACAACGTCCGCTCTATCTCACACCAATTTGATAAAGCAGCATGACATCTACCTGCCAGAATACCAGAGACATGGGCAACTTGATGGGAAGGAAAAATTCAAATATTCTTTCTCACAGAATCATTATTTTATTGACTAGATTAGAATCAGATATCTTCAGCATAATTGCAGGACAACTTTGAATATATCAAAAATTCAAAATGTCATCTCTAAAATGTATTGTGAGCCATCATAAATACAGAAAGTAATAAACCAATTTTGAGGAACTATAATCTTAAATTCTGTGATCCACATGAAAGTGAATTGTTAACATCAAATAACTAAAATGATTTATATATTTACCTCTAAGTCATATAGAAAAGGGTGGGACACACTTAAATGTTCTAGAAAAAACTTACGATTTCACGGCTTTCCTGTATTTATGTGATGATATGGTGTAACTATGAGTCAGTTCCTTGCTGTTCCAAGCCTTAGTTTTCTGATCTCCAAGACGGTGGCACCAAGGTCTGTCCTGCCTTAATTTAGAGGCTCAAAAGGCCCATAGGCCAAAAGGAAAACCATGTTTGGGACAGTGTTTTTCAGTTATCTGCATTCTTGCATGTGGCTTGTAAGAAATTCAGATAATGTGAGGGAATGAATGTTAAAGTGAATCACCAAGAATACTGGTGCTTGGAAAGCTTTTGTGTGGGTAGAGCTGCCACTTTGTTCTGTGTGTCCCAATGCTCCCTGACCTCAGAGACCTGCAGAATGCCCCATGTCCATTGAGCCATGGCCAGCCCTACGGTGAGCAATCCTATCAAATACAAACATCCAGAGGGTTCCAACTCTCAAGTGTCTTACAGAAAATAGAGCCAGGAGCTCCATCTGGCACTCCATTTGCTAAATGTCCCATTGATGTCAAATACTAGAAAATGTGGCTGTTTAAAATCCCAGGGAATAAGATTTCCACTCAGCAGCTTTCTAATGGACACGTACCACATTCTGTGAAGCAAAAGCCCTCTGCTGAGTGGTCCGGTCACAGGCCCTTGCTCACAAGCTCTCTGGGTCTCCGGTGTGATGTGCAAAGACATGCAGATGAGGAAAATGAGTCTAGCCTCTGTGGCTTATTAATATGTTGAGTGCCGATAGAGGGCAGTATTGCATATCTGCAAAAGCTCACACCACAACCTAAGACCACCAAAGCACCTCTTCCACTCTCAGACATCAGTTTAATAATGAACAGGAGCAATTAAAGCAGCTCCCCCATGGAACACATGGCTTCTGGTCAAAGCTCATTATTGCTTCATCACCACTTTGATATTTGCAAAGGGTTTCATAGTCATTTTTAGTCATTATTCCTCCCCAGTACTTTTCTGCTGTATGCCAGATCCATTAGCCTCATTTTTCAGAAGACTGAGATACAGCGAGGTTAACTGAATGGCTTTAGGTCATTCAGCCTAGAGCCAGAGTTAGAAAGAAAACGCAGAGTTCCCACATTCTGTGCTGGAACCCTGAATAAAAATCATCAGCCTTTGTTTGCTGTTGATTCATTAGGGATGATCAGCTTGAGGGTTAACTGGGACTTCACAAACAGCATTCCTATCCCTACCACTGCCTAACTGCTGTTTATCCAGTGAAAGTTGATAAGTGATAATCAAACCAGCTAATTAGGTCTGTTCTGCAGCTCAAGGAAGGAGTGGAAACAGACACAGAAAATCTGGCCAAATGGTGAATATGATCAAGTGCTTTGGGATATTGGTGTTTCATCCTTCAGTGTTCCCTCTCGACTATTCAATAACTGAGAACAGATTGCCAAGAGCCTGGGAGCTGTCAGATCCCTCTCTTTCACTCTTCTGCCATTGACCCCTGACTCCCACAGAATCTCATTTTGCATCCCACATTCTGAAGGCATTGAATCATTTTTTTTTGTCTAAGCACATATTGGCTTCAGTGTCACCTACCTACTGAGGCTGGCTGCCTCATTTGAGACCTGGTGACATGTTCTATTATGTAATATGCTGGCAGATGAGGAACACTTAAATCCTTCCTGTTATGTATGGAGAGTCATCTCTAAAGTGGAGGCTATTTCTTACTAAATGACACTGATAAATTGATAGATGGAACCAACTGACAATAGCTCCATAACAATGTGGTATTTCTCATTGCCAATTTATTTCTAAAATACCATTAAGCAAAAGAAGCCTTTGTGGCTAAGGAAGAGTACCTTTGCATTTTGGAAGCACTTTTAAAAAAAAATTGGTACTGGGGATTGAACTCAGAGGAGTTTTAAGCTATTTCCCTAGTACTTTTTTTTTTTTTTTTGAAACAGTCTTGTTAAGTTGCTAAGACTGGCCTTGAATTTGCAATCCTCCTGCCTCATCCACCCTAGTGGATGAGACTATAGGTGTATACCACCATGCCTGACTCTTCATGTATTTTGGAATGACAAATTAAGATTACAAGGATTTATGATCAGGCCTTGATGGTAAATGTGCCCTTGTCACTTGTTGCAGTGTGGTCTGGCAGAGCATAAGGGTAAGGGTCAGATGCATAGCACATTGGGCAACTGAAGTATCTGGTTTGGGGTTGTAAAATTTATCTCTGGTGGCATCTCTCTGTCTGGCACCTCACTTACCCCTCTAGAAAAAACTGTTGGTCCCTAGATAGGCAAGTGTTACTTTCGGTCTTAGTAAACCCTGTGCCAGTCTTGGGGCAGTCGGAAAGGGTGGAGGAAAGCATGGTGTTTTGATGGCGCTGGCCTGGTCTCAAGTGACACACCCAAGTCTGAATGGTTTGTGCCCACATCCTTTCCACTGCAGCAGGGTAGCTGGTGGCAGTCGCCTTCACAAGAATTGGTATGTGTTGTTGTTTTTGCCGATTATAATACCGCTTGATTTTGATATAAATGGGCTATATACTTATTGCCCCAGACACATTGTAAATCAATCTGAGAGATTCAGAGACCAGTATAAAACCATCGGGTCTAAAGTTTGTACAAGTTTCTGTGATTCAATATGGCACCCTGGTATCTAGCTCTCCTCTTTTTTGGTGGGGCGCTATATTGGGGATTTAACCTGCAGGCACTTTATCACTGAGGTACATCCCCAGCTCTTTTTACTTTATTTTGAGACAGTGTCTCCCTAAATTGCTGGCCTAGAACTTGTGATCCTGATCATCCTGCCTCATGCTGGGATTATAGGCATGTGCCACCTTGCCTATATTTTGTAACTTTTTGAGTTGTTGAGTAGTCAGTGTGAATGAACACACATATTTTAGTGTGCCTCAGAATTACTGGGGATACTGATTAAACGTGTGAGTTCTGGACTTCTCTACTGCACAGGAGATTCAAAGGTGGGTTTCCATGGGTCATTCTTTATGGAATGCTGTGTAAACAAATGGGAATCTCTGCTCTTTCTTAGTGGCATGGACTTTAGTCGTCCTTTCTACTCTTTGCCTTCTAGTCTCATTTTGGCCACTGACAGTTATGCTCCTGAGAATGTAGCTTCATTTTACTTTAAGTAGAAATAACTGCCAATCTTATTCACTTTATACTCCATCCTATCACTTGTTTCTTAGGCTCATCAAAAAACTCTGTCCTCCCTTGCTTCCTTTTAGGACATAGAAATATACATTGTGTCTAGCTGTTTGCTTTTGTTATACCCACCAGGTCTGACATGGAGAATAAATGTGAATTCATACCTACTTCATAGGTCATTATACCTTAACTTGCTATTATTGCCATAGGATTGAACAAAGGTGAAACTTGTCTTCAGGTGGCCTGTTGATGAAGATGTTACATAGTATCCATAAAATTCTAATGCATCTTTAGGACCTAATTACATGATTCATGCATAGAATGCCTTAAATTGGTGTTTAAGTACAAATGCATGCACATGTTTAAGGCCAACACAGTGCTATTCAAATATATTTTTATTTCTATACCACAACAGATTTTCTACCATTTTCTAGAACTCGAAAAATTAAAGTCAATGACAGCGGTGAGAAGAAAATTTGCTGTGCAGTTTTCTGTTGTGCCTACAATCTGAGTTATTTATGTTTAAAATTACATATTTCAAAATATTTCAACACTGCCCAAATGCTTTATAAAGACCCAGTATTTCTTTTCTTTAAGAAGTTCTGATTTTGTTTATTGAAGAAGCAAAATTATAATCAAGGAACATTGAAGAGAAAATAATTCACCATTCAAACACATCAGCTGATCTTATTTATTTCAATTTTCTTTCTGTCTTTGTCCATATACTTGCAATTCTAAGAGGTTTGTTTTCTAATGTTAGCTCAGCCATTAGCAAGTATGATCCTGAGAAAGCATCTTAACTTTAATAAGTATGAATAAGTATGTTACTCATTCATGTCATTGGGTAGTTATGGGGATCCAAAGATAATACAGGTGAAAATGCTTTGCATACCATAAAGTGCCTTTAATGCAGAAAGGATTGTCATTTTGATCTAAAGCTCTTATTATGTGACCATGTCTTTTGTCTCTCCAAAAGCTGTTGGCATCTGTTTTCAGAGAGTGACAAATACAAAATTCTCTTTTAGAGATTAAAGAATCTGTAAAGATTTCAGAGTACTTGACCCAAAGAAAAAAAGGCTGAAAAGCTAGTTACTTAATATCTTCAACTATGCAAAGTCTCTGATAAAGGGAGAGTGGGAACCAGCTGCTATCCTTGTCTCCAGATGTAAATAAAAAAGTTATGGGTTTCAATTGAAGAGGAAATTTAAGTTATTTTAAGATCAATTTCCTGAGCATAGGGATTGTTATTAATGAGACTGGGATAGGTAGTATAGGTTCTATTGCTTTCAAACTTGAAGAATGTTACATTTGTCTTTTGTCATATACAGGTATAAAATAAGCTGGTGGATTCTGTGGCTCAGCAGTTCAGACAGAGCATGGAGGGAATGGCTTATCACTGCTTCACAGTGACTGGTGCTTCAGTTGGGAAGACCAAAAGGCTGAGGATCACTTACATAAAGGGGTCGGAGTCACCTGTAGGTTTCTTCACTGATGTGTCAAATGCCTAGGGTCATATTGGGCCTCTCTCTCCCTGTGTGTCATACCTTATTGCTCAAGTTTTCTCCAAGATGGCCATCTCAGGGTGGCCGATGACATCTTCCATTATTGCTCAGAGCCCCAAGAGTAACTATGAAAGTTGTATGGATTTTTAAACACTTATTTATAAAAATCATAAGACTACTTTTTTGTCTGATTTTCTAAATTATTGAGGTATAATGGTTATACAAAAAAAACTACACATATTTAATGTGTGTAATCTGATGAGTTTGAGCACACATGGATATCTGTGATAACTTTGTTACAGTTAAGGCAATAAATGTACTTAGTGCCTCCCTCGGTTTCCTTGTGCCTCCCCCTCCCTTTTATAATAATGTTTAACATGAGATCTACCCTCTTCACAAATTTTTGAAATGTACAATATCGTACTGTTCACTATAAGTACCATGCTATGCAACGGATCTCAAAACTTATTCATCTAGAATAACTGAAACTTTATACCCATTTCCCCCATCTCCAGTTCCTGGAAACTGCTATCATATTCTCTGCTTCTATGGGTTTGACTCTATTAGATACTTCAGATAAGTGGAACCATGAAGTATTTGTCCTTCCTTGACTGGCTGACTTCAATTAGCATAACATCCTCTAGGTTCAACTGAATTGTCATAAATGAAAAAATTTCTTTCTTCTCAAAGACTGAATCATATTCCATTGTGTGTGTGTGTGTGTGTGTGTGTGTGTGTGTCCCATATTTTCTTTATCCATTCTGTAGAGGGACCCTGGGTTGTTTCCACATCTTAGTTATTGTGAATAATGCTAAAATGAATATTGGGAGTGCAGATATCTCTTTGAGATCCTGATTACAATTATTTCATATATACATCAAGAAGTGGGATTGATGGATCATATGTCAGTTTTATTTAAAAAAATTTTATGAAGAAACTCTATATCATTCTCCATAGTGGATATACAATTTTATGTTCCCATTACCAGGGCGCAAGTAATTTCTCCACGTACATACAAATGGCTAACAGGTATATGACAAAATGCTCATTGTCATTCATTATTCAGGAAATGTAAGTCTAAAGTATCATGAGACTTAGGATGGCTATTATTAAAAAAATAAAAGAAGATAACAAGTGTTTACCAAATGGGCTGGCTTTTATAGTTTAGCTTTGGAATAATATAGTGTCACTTCTACTAAAATAGGATGTTGGAAGCAATCACAAATCCATCTACTTTTAAGAGTTGTAGACCTTATCTCTCAATGCAAGTTAAAGAACTTGGAAACATATTTGGAAACCACTACAAAATCAAACTGTAACTCATTTATTTATTTAACGGATTTCCATTTATTAAGCTAGAAAACTAAGAAAAAAGGCAGCATGTCTTTACCTGTCTTGAAGAGTTTGCAGTAGTGGTGGTGAAGTTAGCCCAGATTTAAGGTGAGATCTTTGGGGAGGGACTTTGTGAAGGCCATTCAGGTTTCCTGCCACTAAAGTCCTTCTTTGGAGGACTAAGAAAAAATTCCTAGTTCTTCTGAATCCAACTAAATCAGCTAGCAACAAGTAGTTTTCAATTTGTTTTCTACCCCTTGGCCTGTGTTTTCTGAATTGTGGGCACTGGGACTCCTAATCTTTGGCAGTGAGTCCCATTCTAAATGTAAACAGATGGGGAAAGTGCCAGCATGATGGAGTGTAACACATTCTATTGCAATAACATGCTGATGTTGGTTGGGCAAATGTAGCTGCATTAAACAACTGTATTTGCTGAACCCTGTCCATAAGGACTCAGAAGTTTCACATGGGAGAGATGCACAGCTAATGCCTTTCTCAGGTCCACCCAGGAGAGCCTGGGCAGCACCATTTCGGTTCAGCAGACCATTAGTGCAGCAGCCTGTTTGATTATGAGCTTTCAGGGGAATGTACCAGGTTGGCCATAGTGACTTGTAATCATTTATTTCATGTTCTGCAGCTTATGAATTTGTTTTTTCAGGGCAGACAATATAATTAAGCAACCTCAAAACCAACCTCCTTTGCTACCACCTAAAATAACTTCATGACTGAAATAGGTCCCATTGCCAGCTTGACCACATTTGACTCAGAATCAGTCTGCTGTTCCCTCTGCCCCTCCCCAGCCTTCCTCCCTTGGCACAGAAAAAGGCTGAATAAGCTCAGTCTACCTTCCAGCCCAGTAGCAGGGTTTTCTTTCCTTTGCTTTTCTTGGTCAGGCTAGAGGAGGTAGCAATCCATTGCTGACACCAGAGGGGTGCCCACAGAATCACTTGTTCAAACATACTTCTCCTTCCATCCTGAACAAAACCATCAATTGCTATTTTGATAGCTTGTAGCATTGACTCTAGAAAGTTCAGTAAAACTTAAATGTTTTCTGGTTCAGTGCATTGACTCAAAAATACTAATGACCATAATAATCAATATGTTTTTTTTTTTGCAATCAGCGTGTGCCACCCACTTTGCTGATATTTTTTTCTTGTAACATCTTATGAAGTCTCTACTTAACAAGGGACAATGAGTCAGTCACTGTTATTATCCCCATATCATTAATAAGGAAACTGAGGCCTCTAGAACTTAAATAGGTTGCCCACAGCAAGGAAGAATCAGAGCCAACTTTTGAACTTAAGTCTGTCTTACTTCAGAACTCTTGTTTTTAAACACTGTGTGGTTATACCATTGGTAAAATGATAGATCCTGGGAATTTGAGACTTCTATACATTTTTAATTATTACATTTACAATACATTTTAGTGGTGGAATCTGGAGTAGGGGCATAAAAATATCTCCTTCTTAGAAAGAACCCTCAGGACACTGAGAAAATACAAATATAAGATATAGGGAGATACTAAGCATAAGTCTATACATTAAGGATTTATTGCCTACCAACTATGCATGGAGAATTATACTAGGGGATAGGAGTGTGGGGTCAGCCTAGTCAACCTGCAGCTCAACATCCTTCATATGCTCTTTCTACTGACTTTGGGTTATAAGGGCAAGACGTATAGAAGGGATTTCAAGTTGAGGCCGTGTTGCTCTATACTAAGTTCACCTTGTTCCTTGGCTTTCTGTCCACTACATTTCCCTGCCATTTCCTAGAGCCATTGTCTCATCCTTGGTACCTAGAACTGATATTGTTTTATCAACAAAACAAACAAAAAAACCCCAATCAAAACAAAAATCAAATGATAATCGCACCAACAATAATAAGCACTCACCAAATGCCAGGCACTGTTTTAAGGTCTTTATATGATCTAAACTTCTTAATAACCTTGGAAGGGTTTAGAGATATAGAGCTCTGTATCTTCCCTTTAGTCAGTTGAGACTGCTATCTCACAACATTTCTAGCACTATTTTCTGCCCCTAAAACAGAAAGGCAAGTTTGAGAGAATTTCTGACACTTAGGTCAGAGTTCTGAATAGGACCAGCAAGGAGTGAGCAGGACAAGATAACAACCTCTAGGCAGCTTTAGGAAGAGCAATGTGGGTTCCTTCCACTCTGGAAAATTGAACCATTCATGTGGGTCAATCACACTGTGTAGAAATGACAGCACTCTGGGAATTTACACTGAACCTCCCAGACCAGCCTCACTCTCAATCATCCTGATTTAGCCCCTAAGGTCCCAGAAGACCCAAAGCTGTCATTTGTGTTTGATTGTAGCATGAACACCCTGTGGAAGAAAATACAATGGAAAAGCAAGACCTCAGGGTCCAAGGCAGCAAACATCTTCAGCAGAGCAGCTGCGGGGACTTAGAAACCCACAAGAACCCCCTGTATGAGCAGTGGTAGCTTGGCTGGTGACCCAGTGGACGTAGAGCAGCTGGACTCCCTGGATGTTGTCATCCTGGGCTTGTCCCTGATGGACGGGAAGTACTTTCCTCAGAGTGAGCACTTAGTGCTGACTGAGAGAATCGATGGGAGAGAGGGGGCTTGAAGGTGCCAGAGGAATCATAAATATTTTATACTGTCGAATCAAATGGAAAAGGCAAAGCTATTTCTTTTTCAAATGGAAGTGGTGGAGACTTCAAGATTCCATTCAAGATTAATAGGCACACTGGCCTGTATTCAGAGCTTGGAGACAAAACAAAAAGGACCAGTTGAAGTTGTGAAGCACAGAAATAGAAAGAATTCCAGGGCTGGAAAGGGTAGCCTTTAGTCATGAACCCCATAGGCCATGAGGTTGGCTGATCTGCAAACATGTCTCCTTTTAAACATTCCTGGAAAGAGTGTAAACTAGAACATTGTTTTCAATACATTCTTATGAGTTTGGCTTGAACAATAACATCAGAGGTTACATGTGAAATCATGGGGATGGATGAAATATTGGGAGTGGCCTTGTTCCTCCTCTGCCCTCTGCCAGGGCCCATCACGCCTTGAATCATTCCAGAGTGCTGAGCATTTAGGCTGTTTGTAGACACCGAAAAGGACAGATATCTCACCTCTTGCTTTGGGAATTTCTTTCAAGTTTAATGGACCCTGAAGGCAAATGGAAGGTGATTTTCGAAGCCATTTCCTTTGATTGACCTATTTCCAAAAAAGGATGCCTCTACCTCTGTTTTCTGCTCATTTCTGTGGAAAGATTATGCAGTGATGCTTCTTTACAGAGCCTACAGCCTATTTCTCTCTTTGTGATCTGAGACAATCTTAGGAAGTCAGCTCAGAATTTATCGTCAGGGCAAGGTGGATCAGCTAGTTCTTTTGGAGGGGGAGGAGAATAGGGTATAGCTGACCATTTGGGGATTTTCCCGGCCCAGGAGAGGCTTCCAGGAAGCAGTGCCACTCTGTTCAGGCTTTCTAAGGCACAGATCTATGTTGGTCACATCCTGTGTGGGTCCTGCCCCAGGCCGCATGAGGAATAAAAGATAAGCTCACATTTCCTGCCTGCCAGGGACATGCAGTCTTTCAATTTTGGTTTCTTGCTGTCATGGCTCTCAGCTACACCCAGGTCTCTGCTGAGCTCACACTAACCCTGAAGGGAGTCAGGCAACCTGGGCTAATCTATCTATGCAGCTCCAGAAAGCGGGAGCATTAATCGGCTGACTCTTGACCTCAGGAAACACATAGTTTGGGAGTTAGGAGGAAAAGCAGTTAGCAAAGCAGAGCAAGACAGAATGTTTCTCATCAGGGTCCCTTATAACCACAGCCTGCCTCTGTGAGAGGCTGCTGGCACATGCACCCCTTGGCAGCCGCCCTTAGCCAGGGCATGAGGACTTTCTCTTTGCCATTCATCCTTGTTTCTAACCACATGTCCCACTGGCCTGTCTGCAAGAGAAATGGGAGATACCATTCTGATGCCTTAGAAGGTGCTGCGTTCTGGGGCTTCCTGTCC